TTTTTAAATTTTTTTGGAGCTTACTGAGCTTTAAAACAGTTATTTTGAATTCTTTATTGGGTAAATAGCATATCTTCATGTCTTTGGGGGCGGTTACTGGAAAATTGTGTTCTTTTGGTGGTATCATGTTTCTTTTATTTTTCTTGTTCCTTGAAGCCTTGTGTTGCTGGCTTTGCATTTGAAGTAGCAGTCACCTCCTGCAATCCTTACTGACTGACTTCAGCAGAGAAATACCTTTCCTCAGCCCTGCTAGGGATTCTGAGGCTCTCTCAGGCCTTCAGTGGATTCACCTGCTCCACACAGTCTCCCTCTCGTTGTGGAATTCTTAAGCTTATATGCCTTCTTTCATTTTTGCAGAGCCACACTGTGTGCTGACAACCTCCCCTTTACTTTCCTAAGGGTAGTCTCCCCTAGGCCTACAGATTTGTGCTGGCTTTCTGTGCATGCTTACTAGCTGTCTGCCTAAGCTCACTATTGTCATAGTTTGGAGCGTGGACAAGGAGTTGGTCACTGGGTGGGGGGATGTGTGAGTAGATGTGCAGAATGCTGGGGTGCCTGTGGGCCAGCTAAGTGAATCTGTGGGTGAGACGTTCTAAGCACTCATGAGTGGGCCTCCCAATAGTTTCAGTGACATGTTTAGTAAGATCCATGTCTCTTTGATATTTTCCAAACCCTGGCTGCTGATCTCCCAGCCACTCTGCCACCCTGTCGTTCAGCTCACAACTTAGTACTCTGGATGAGGTGAGAGAGAAATCAGCCTCTTTGGCAGTGTCTTCTCAAAATGACTCTCATTCTTGGACTGCACAGGAGTTTCAGTCTCCTACCTGGATCCCATGGCTGCTACAAAGGCACTTTTGTCTGAGGATGGATGCCAAATTGTTGTTGAGAGTGAAATATGATTGAGGGACATCTTTTTTGGCCATCTTGCTGCTGTTCACTCCCTCACCACAATTAGCTTTAAAACATTTTCATCACCCCAAATAGAAATCCTGTACCCTTTGACTATCACTTCTCAATGCCCCATTTCCCTACCCGTAAACAACCACTTACTTACTTTTTATATCTATAGATTTGCCTATTTTGGATACTATATATAAATGGTATTGTTATGCGTGATCTTTTATAACTTGCTGCTTCCAGTTAGTGCAATATTTTTAAGGTTTGTGGTGAAGCATGTGTCAGTACTTCATTCCTTTTTATGGCCAAATAATATTTCATTTTATGGACATACCACCTTTTATTATATATTCATCACCTGATGGATATTTGGGTTGTTTCCACTTCTTGGCTTTGGCCAGGGTACAAAGGCAGTTAATGAAGAAAGGATACTCTCTTCAATAAAGGATATAATGTTGGAAGAATTGGACATCCATACAGAGAAAAAATCTCTAACTAAACTTTGTGCTTTATATAAAACTTAACTCAAAAATGACTTAGATCTAAATATAAAATTTAAAACTGAAACTTTTAAAAGAAAGCTTGGGAGAAAATCTTTGAACCTGGGGGTAGGCAAAGAATTCTTAGACATGATTCTAAAAGCACAATCTATGAAAGAAAAAAAATTATAAATTGGACTTCCATCAAAATCAAATATTTTTGCTCTACCAGTGATACTGTTAAGAGAATGAAAAGATAAGCTACAGAGTGAGAGAAAAATATTTGCAAAGCACATCTTCAATAAAGGACTTATATCCCTAATATGTAAGGAACTCTCAAAACACAACAGTAAGACAACAAACAGTTTAAAAATGAGTAAAAGGCATGAACAGAAACTTCACCAAAGAAAATATAGAGATGACAAATAAGCACATAAAAAGATAGATAGTCAAGGGTACTGAACCTGAACTTGTATATATGCACAACTCTATGCCATGTAGAACTTTCTGTTAGTAGTACAAGAGATGAATGATGATGCCATTCTCCCAAATGACTTCGCTGAAAAATGATGGAAAGCCCGTCCCCTCCCCGCCCAGAGAAAAACCCAAGATATTCAACCTCTTCAATTTTTGGAGAAATGCACATGAAAACTACAATGTGATTCCATTATATACCTACTAGAAATAACTGGTGCATCCATATAATGGAATACTTCTCAGTAGTAAAACAGGAATGAATTGTGGATACCATGATAACTTGGATGAATCTCAAAGGCATTATGCTGAGTGAAATAAGCCAGTCTTAAAAGGTTACATACTATATGATTACATGACATTCAGGAAAAGACTAAAGTGTTGGATGAAGAACAGGTTAGTGGTTGCCAGAGGTTAGGGGTAGGGAA